GAAAGGATCTGATCTCAGTTCCAGAGGATTCCAAATAGATTTGAGTCGGATTCCAATCGGCTTTCAATATCAACGGAGCAGGTACGAGTTCCGAAGAATTCTCATTGAACTTGATGAAGTCCTTGATCGCATTTCATTGGGGGAGAGAGAGCAGATCCCAGATCCAGAGGATTCCTAGTGAATTTGGATATGTAAACAGAACATCTCCCATATCCAAAAGATTCCCATCGAATTTGAATATGATTCTATTCAGCCTCTAATACAAACGGAGCAGATCCCAGGTCAAGAGGATTCCGCAGATGAGGGGGAGGACGGAAGCAAAAACAAGTGGAATGCATCGAAGATGAGGAAGATGAGGGGATGAGGATAAGGAGAAGGACGAGACTCCCTCCCCGCCCGCAAGCCGTCTCGCTCACTCCCACCCAACCTCCCAACACATACGTAGCACCCAAGCCTGGCCCGAGCCTCAGCATATTCAGCAGTCGTCTTTCGATGGGCAGCTACTGGGGGCGAATCCGTCGCCGCCGCCGCCGCCGCCTCCGCCGCCGCCGTCGCCGCCGCGCCGCCGCCGCCGCCGCTGTCCCCCGCCGCCGCCGAGGGATGAATGATGATGGGACCGGAAGGAGGAGGAGGAGGAGGAGGAGGAGGAGGAGGAGGAGGAGGAGGAGGAGGAGGAGGAGGAGGAGGAGGAGGAGGAGGAGGAGGGGCCTGGGAATCTGGGTGAGCAGCGCTCGCGCCAGGCGCTGGGTGTGGATCGCGCTGCCCGCCGCTTCCCGTCCTCGGGGGGCGCGGGCTGCCCACCGGCGCGGGGCGGCGGGCCCCCTCCGGGAGCGGGGCGTGGCCGTCGGCGCACCGAGGCGGGGCGCGGCTCGGCGTGGCGGAGGCGGAAGCGGAGATCGGGGGCGGCAGAGAGGGGGGTGGTGACCAGGGGGGGGCTGCAGATCATGGCGGGGGCCATGATATCCCCGCAGGTCTCCTGACGTCCCTGGCCCCCCCCCCGATGGGCCGCGCACATGCCGCCGGCCATGATTTGCGCCCCCCCTCTTGGGCACCCCCTTCTTGGCCGCCCCCGAGGAGAGAGCCTGTTTTTTGTGCAGGCTCGGGCAAGTTTACCCCTCGGTCGTTGGAAGCACGTATTTCTGGAGTCCCGGATTCCCATCTACTTTAAGCGCTGGAGGCCCGGTGGGGAGGAGGCGGAAAGAGCCTACGTTCAAGTCGGGCACGTCCCTTCCCAGAACCCCTCGGGTAATGAGCAAAAATCTTGACGGGAGGTTTTTTCTATCTTCGGTCTCTGGGGGCCCTTACTGGCCCTCGGGACCGTCAAAAAACGATTCACGAAGAAAAAACGGTCCAGGGGAAAGGGTCGAGACCTCCAGGGGTCGACGTAACGAAGAAATCATGACGTCGGGGGTCTGGATCTACAGGAGGAAGATTCAGAAGTTGTTTAAAACATAGTCTGGGGGCGATTTTCTGATTACTTTCGACTATTAGGGAACATGTTTATACGATTGCTGTCCCTTCCAAAACCCGCCATGGGAGGACATGCCCGACCTAAGCCTCCGTATTCTTCATGTTCGGGCAAGTTCACTTGCATGGCGTTCCCCCCCCCTCTCCCCCCCATTCCTCGCCTCTCTTCAGGCGAACGCTGGCGCGCAAGTGACGTTCGACTTGCATGGTGTCCGCACGTCGTGCAAGTCGTCTGCGGCTTGCTTCAGGTTCAGGACCCCCGCCGGTCCGTGCAAGCATACTTGCTGGAGCCTAGACGAGAAGCAGGCTCAAGGCAGGGATGCGGAGTGGAGCGGAGTGGAGACGAGAAGACTTGGGAGCAGAGGGGCGCCTGGGAGCCTGACCCCCTCTAGTCCTGAAAAAGGCACGGCGGGAGGCGTTCCGTTTTTTGCGGCCTCTGAGGAGCCCTTGCCGGGCCTCGGGACCGTCAAACGACGAAATTCAGGATGGAAAACCGGTCGCGGGGAGGGGGTCCAGACCTCTGGGGGCCGATGTTTTGAAAAAGGGCATGACGCTGGCCTGGTGAGAGGGGAGGGTGGGAGTGGAGTGGAGAGGAGAGCACTGGATCGGGGCCCGGTGGGGCGGAGATGAGAAGAGAAGAGCACGTGGCAGCGGAGAGGCGACGAGGGGAAAGCGAGCGGCAGCCCCGGCGCGGGAGGCGGTCTGTTACGTGTGCCTCACGCGCGCCGTGCCGCGGGGGTGTGTTGCCCACTGAGCAAGGCGCTACCGAGGCTTCCCAGGGAGCCTCGCCGAGGCTTCTCTTGGGAGCAGGCAGAGAGCTCCTCGCACCAGGGAAAAGCTTCACCGGGGAAGTCTGGCCAGCCTCCGCCGGGGAGGGCGTGCTCGCCTCGGGGTGCTCTCCGGCGGCGGCGCCTCGTCGGGAGCTCTCGGGCGCGGCCGCGGGCGGCCCGAACTGCGGCCCGAGAGGGAGCCACCGGCGGCAGCGTTCCCAGCCTCGACGTCTGCCTCCCAGCCGACGGGGCGGGGCTGAGGGCCATCGGCCCTTCGGGTGCTCTCCTCAGGGGCGCCATTTCCCCACCGTCACTTTGACAGGAGTTGTGGGCGGAAGAAAACACACGATGTCCGCCTGGGCCCCCGTCGGAGGAGCGGAAATGCGAGCGCAATGGCGCGCGAGGTGGCGCGCGACCCGCCGCTGGTTGAAACGTGAATGCGCGGGCGTCGCGACGGCGACGACGACGGCGGCGTCTGCGCCGACGGCGACGACGACGGCGGCAACGGCGACGGCGGCGACGACGAACATCGCGGCGACGGCGGCGACGTGGCCCGGGCCCACATGCGAATTTGCGCTCCGCCTTCGCTCCTGGAGTGCCGCGCCAGATTTTATGGGAGGAGCGATTTTTTTGCGCGCAGTTCTACCTCAGTCGCCTCTCCGCTTTAGGAAAGCTCCCTTTTTGCTTCAGTGAAACGTCGTTGTTCGGAATGCATTGAGCGGCGCGCCTTTACTAAAACCGCTTCCTCGCTTCAGTGAAGCCGTTTCCTCGCTTTAGTAAAGCCGCTTCCTCGTTTGAATAAAGCGATTCCTTCGCTTTAATAAAGTCCGCGGTCTGCCTTAGTAGAGCCTTGGGGACGGTCGGGGGGCGGGGGGCTCTTGTCTCCCTGGCCAGTTCACCCCTCGATGCGTGTGTTCGAGTAATCAGGGTCGCGTTGCATCGGGTCGCTGCGATCCTTGGACCTGTTTTCAGCGATTTGTAGATGCTCCTGGACAGGAGAGTCAGGGCTCGAGCGCAGGACGTGGCTCGGCAATTCGGACGCGCCGCCGCCGTTGTCGCGCAACAGAGCAACAGCACTTTACTAAAAGGCTTGGTTCCTTTAGCAAATAGCTCCTTCAATGTAATAGTGCGAATTTGTCCGCTTCCAATCTTAGGGCCGTTTCGGAGGACATCGGGCTCAAAACGGGGCGGTCTCAACGAAGGCGCCCCCCCCCCCCCGCGTCGTGGACAAATCGTGATGGACAGTTTTTCCCCGGCCTTCCTGCGTTGGGCTTTCGTTTCAAAGGAGGCACTGGGGTCGCGTCGTCTCCTCCCGCTTCCCTCCCCTCTTTCCTCCCCTACTCGCCTGCCTCTCCCCTGGCTCGTACCTCCTGCCAGCCTGCCTGCATGCGCACTGCGAAACTGTCGCCGCTGTCGTGGCTTCCTGGGAGGTCCAGCGGAGTGATGTGCTACGCAGACAGACTCAGATGAGATCTCGCCGTCCCCTTGGACGTTGCTATCTGCTAAACTGTCACCACTTTCGTGGCTTCCTGGGGGGTCCAGTGGAGTGACGTGCCACGCGGTTCATATTCAGATTAGACGCTGCTATCAGCGATTTGCGAAACCGTCGTCACTTTCGAGGGTTGGAGGGTTCAGCGGAGTGACGCTTTACCGCGGACTCAGACTAGATCGTTCCGTCCCTGATGGCCCAAAGCATGGCCCCCCATGGGTTGCGGAGGCCTCGGGGGCCCATCGTAAGGGAGACGGCGGGAAGGCAGGCATGTTGAAATGTCCAAAAGGTTGAATGAGTGTGGCCTCTCGTTGTTCTTATCGGGATGGGCCGATGCCCTTTGGAGCCGTCTTGTGGTGGTCTTGAGGCCTCGTGGGGCCTCTTTTGAGAGATATCTTGAATCATCTTGTCGTGTTGCGTACCATCTTGGAGGCCATCTTGGGCCATCTTGGACGCTACTGAGTGTCGTGGCATTCTGGCCCCCACTCCAGGCGAGGCATTTTCCTCGGCAGGGCGGGCGTATCCCTCCAATCGACTGGCGACCATCGAGGAGCAGTGGTGGACTCCAGGACGGTTCAGGACGCCGCCAAGGCGGCCCCATACAAGACAGCATAAAACAGGACAAGTGGATACAAGACCTGAGAACGTGAAAAGACATGCTCCTGGTGGGCCAAAGATGACCCCAACCCACTGCTAGCGAGTTCCCAAAAGCCCAACATCCTTCCAACCGTCTAGGCGATTCATGGATATTTGCCTTCAACGCCTCTGTAGGCTTCAAGAGAGCTTTAAGGGGGGGGCCAAGACGGGCCTAGGAGGGGCCCAGTAAAGTCCCAGAGGCTCCCAAGAGAGCCCCCGATAGGGTCCCAGGAGGTCTCCAAGGCAGTCCGAGTCTCGAGAATGCTGCTTCTGCGGGCATTCACGCATACTGGAGGTTGCATTCCCCTGGTGATGCGTACTGGCTCTCTTGCATGGCGTCGCGCCTTCTGCGACCATCCGTGGTGATTGCCGTCCTTTCCCTCCGTAGCGTCGGCCCGTGACCTTGCAGCTGCTGAGCCGGGGCGCGGGTATGCCTTAGCTCCGCACTGCGCAGGCGCGCGATGAGGCAGCCATGGAAGCGAGATCGCAGCCTCGACCGCCAAGCGCTAGGGTCTCGAAGCCTCGACCGCATGGCGCTGGGGTCCGAGCGGGTCATGCCCAGCAGCATGACGCACCGTGGCTACGTGGGGTTCAAGAGCGCCGTGGCCGTCATCGCCTTCCACTTCGGGGTGAAGATCATGGTCCAATTTGCAGACATTTTGCTCCCCTTCATCATGTCGCTGCTCCTGGTGACCATATTGGATCCTGTGAAGCAGGAGACATACGTCGTGCTCGAGTGCGTAGCGGTGCTGTTCTTCCAGAACGTATCTTTTCTGGGCTGTTGTCTGCGGCCATCCCGGAGACCGTTGAATGCTGGTGAGCGGCAGGCGAAATCGACAAGCCTGCGGGAGTGGGTCGAAAAGTTGTTGTTGATAGTCTCCATTGCCATCACCGTGCTGCTCGCTGGGCGTCTATTCTGGATCGTGGGGCGCATCGTGTGGCTGAGCGGCGAGGCCATCATCGTGGATTTCGAGTATTACAAGGAGGGCGTCGAGAAGCGTGGGGAGCAGGCTCAGGCGCTGCTGAAGAAATACCACCTCGACAAACAGGCGTCTCTCGACACCGAGGACCTCAGCAGCATGGCCCTGGAGATGCTCAGGTACGTCGCCGACTTTTTCACGCAGCACGTGTTCTACAGCATCACGCAGGTCAGTCTCACTACCATCTTCGTACTGTTCTTGCTGTACTCGCCTGTTCAGCGTGATTTCGCACCCGTCATGCAAGGTGTGTTTTCTTCCATGGAGCTGTATCTGAAGCTGAAGACATTTATCTCCTTATCTGGAGAGCTTCGCCCTCGTCCGCCGGCCCCACCTCGGATGACCCCGGGTGGGCGAAGCACCTTTTTAGGCAGCCACCCCGAGTTCCAGGGTAGGGACTGCAAGATGTTGTGGCCCAGGAGAGCGGTTTGTCTTGGATGCAGAAGAGAAGGCTTGGTTCAGCACGGAAGGCAGGTGGAGCACTACGGCGGCAGCTTCGAAAGGTGAACCATTGGTGGAGGAATCTCTCCAGAGCTGGAGGGACAAGATCACCACAGACCCGCCCACGGACAGTTGCCTGATGCGTCCTGTGACAAGGACTGCTGCCAAGCCTGCGAACCTTGGGCTTTCATCCATAACCCCAATCCAAAACATGTCATTCGGTTCCTCTTCTTCCCCCTCCGCTGCCCTCCGAAACCAAACGGCCCTTTCCATGGCATGCCAATTTATTGCTGCATGAAGCTTTATTTCTCGAGGAAACCAGCCTGCAGGACCCACACCATCAACGCCATCACCGCGACCAATTACGGCGACGACAAATGAACACGGCATCGGAGGAGGCAGAGCGGTTTTACATACACAGACGGCGACGTGCCGATCAGCATTTTGGTAGCACGGCGAGCGTACGGACAGGCTGGCACAGACCAGCACCGACCTACAGAAACATCACCAGCATATCAAGACGAGCACATACATGAACCACCAGCAAGCCACCATCACCAGCGGCAGCAGCAGGACGTAGACAGACCTTCAACACTCCCGGCAGCCAGCCACGACCACGAGTACCAACCACACCACCGACAACCATTGACAAGCATGCGCCAACCAGCAGCGACCAACAACGACCACCAACGTCCAACAACGCTAGCACCATCGACTCACCAGCCAGACTCACACAGACCACCAGCGCCCCCTGCCAATCAGGGTCAGCTGTACCAAGCGACAACGACAAGTCGACAGCAATCAATCAACCAGCCACCCACCATCACCAACCATAATCACAACCACCAGCAGAAACGAGCAGCAGCACAATCACCACCGACCAGCACCAACCAGCACCGCCGACCCACACCGACCACCACCAACAAGCACTATCACCACCGATCAGTCCTGACCACCACCACCGACAGCAGCACCACCGAGCAGCATTGACAAACCAGCCCCTATCCACACTGACCAGCACCGACCAGCAAACAGCGACAGCTCCGACTTTCGAACAGCGGCGCTAGCAACACGTAAGCAGACAACCAGCGCCACCGACCATCCCCACACAGCCACAAAACCGGCACCACCAGTAGCGGCCAGCATCGCCACCAGCACCACCGAATATCTCCATCATACATCGTCAACCAGCACCAACCAGCACCCATGGCGACCAACCAGCGGAAGCATCAACATTTCGTATGACGGTCATCCACACGAACGCCTGGGCACTTGCAACAGAAGAACGGGTTTGCGAGCTAATTTATGAGCTTGAATTTGGCCACTGGAAATTTGCGCTCATAAATGAGACATGGAGGACCACGGCGACGGAGCTTTACACAACCACCGGGGAAAACAAATCGCCGAATCTGGCAACGACCAGGCGTGCCATGGACCTGTTATGCTCCCGTGCAAGCGTCGGAGCAGACGATTACGACAATGTCGCGCACACTCGCCGAGACTAGTCACGATGTCGCTGAGAAGGTGGAGGCTGAAATTTCAGTTGGTGGCGGCATATTTCCCGCATTCTGGATACAGCGACCCACATGTACAACGCATGTACACAAACGCGACATCACATCATATTCGCTTTCGACTTTGCAGGCTGGGGTATCTCATTTTCCAAAGGAGGACGATAGCGACGACGACGACGACCACTTCACCTCCAGATGCGCTGGCCGCCACGGTACGGAGTCGAAACCTTGAGAGGCACTCGGTGACGGTACTGGGCGGCACAGGAGGGGATCGTGATAGCGAATACATGTTTCCGCAAGTTGGAGCACACTCACACATTACCGACACCAATTACTGCTGAACCGCAAGAATTTCTGGCATGGCAAGAATGCAAAGGCGAACGACGCGACCGATTTGGGATATGACCGCCATGTTGGTGTCATCGACCTCAAGATGCCAGAGCCAATGCCAATCAGATTGCCGCGGCACGACGAACGACGACAGCGCAAATTCCCGCCACCCCACTTAACGATCGGAACAATCACCAGCACAAGCATCTGCCATGATCACCATCGTCCACGACTGCACCAAAAGGAGTTACCACCCGACTGACAAGCATTGAGCGAACACATTCAACAAGTAGTTATCGATGCCGCTGGTACCAGCAGTGCTGGGGAACTACGAGCAGACGGACAGCCTAACAGAGAAACAAAACCAGTACATTCCTTACTCGCACAACGGCACCGGACTCTTAATACCGACCACCAAACCCGCACGCAATTGATCAAACAAATGCAGCATGAGATCCGCGCACAGAAGCGGAAGACACGCTGTGCCGACATAGGACACGCATTCGAGCATTTCACAGATTTGAGGACTATCACGCGCACCAAGACACGCGGAAAACTGGCTTTCACCACAGACACACACACAACAGACAATAATGGCGATAAAGACACGACTCGGCAAGATATTGTAGTCGTCTCTGCCGAATTCTACGTGCACTTCTACAAGTCGACGGCAAAAGCGACCCAGCAGGAGCAACCCGACGACCTCGTCCCGCTTTTCACAAGGACGGATCTGGACAAGGCGTCAGAGGGCTCCGCTTTGGCAAGGCCCCCGACACCGAAATCTTCCGAGCTGAGATGTTGAAAGAGGGCGCGGGAGAATTTAACCGTGCTTTTCTACACTGTTGCAACACGCTTATCTGGTCCTACGATCCCCCGATGGTCACCTGGAGGAGCACAGGTATCACGGTTATTTAATGAAGTTAGGGTTTTCACGCGACACGCACCATTTGCCGGAGATTTTTGCTCTACAAAGTCAGCAGCAGATTTCCTTACCAACAGCGGGCCATGCAGGCTTCAAACCAAATCATTCGATCGTTGACCATGTGTTCATTGTTCAAAGCCTCCAGAAGCGCGCACATGAATGGAACCAGAGCTATTGGGTTGTTGCACCCGATGTCCAACGAGTGGTCGGCACAATCTAACTCAAAAGCCAATGGGCAGCACTTAAGTTTCATCAACACATGGTTGGACCACCTGGTCACCGACTGGCAAGCCAAGGGCAAGGGAGTCCAAGTGGGTTGTACCGTCACCGCTGCGCTCACCAACCGTCGCTTCGCCGACGGCGTGCCTCTGACCAGCCACTTTTTCCCGCGCCTCACCACGATTCTCGACGACATCGCGCGTGCAGCACAATCACACAGACTAGAGCGACACCCTTCCAAAATCAAGATGCTGAGCAGCCAGACGAGACGGTCCGGCACAGCCAGGTCAAGCACGGCGCGCGTCCAGGGCATGGACATCGACATCCCCCCACACGAGGGCATGGTCAAACACCTCGGTCAATTCATCAGCTTCGACGACGCAATGGAATCGGAAATCCAACACCGCACAAGAGTTTCATGGGCATTGTTCGCGTCACGCAAGCAGGATCTGACCAGCAACCATTACCTACAGGCGCACCGGCTCCGGCTCTTCAGCAGCACAATAACCCCTTCAATAGTCTATGGAGCAACAACGTGGACGACAGCACCAGCGACGACGTCGACAGCAACCGGCCACCGCAAGACACAATTGCAATATCAGACACGCACAGCGGCCACGACGACGTCACTGGAGACCATTTCTTATCCACCCAAGGGGTATCACAGGTTACGTCGGTATTTTCTGGTGTGCACGAGCTTCGTGGTGTACGCAGACACTGTGGTGCACAGGGGGTGCTGAAACAGCATCTGTGGTGCACGCAGGCGCCATAGTGTGCACAAACAGCGTGATGTACAAAGGCGCTGTGGTGCAGGCGGTGCGGGCTTGGACGATGACGACGACGACGACGACGACGACGACGACGACGACGACGACGACGACGACGACGACGATGACATCGACGACGACGACGACGACGACGACGGCGACGACGACGACGTAGGCGGCGCGCCTCGGGGGTGCCTCCCCTCCTCCCCCCCCCAGGGTAGCATGTGTTATCCCTCTGGAATAAAACAGTGTCTCCCGTCAGTGCGGATGTGTACGTGGATATGGAGCTTTTGGGCCGACTGCATTCAGCGTGCTACGCGGCGCGCAGAGCACCTCATGAAGCAACACGGGGTCAAGTTTTGGACAACACCCCTCGGGCGGATGTCGTGGATCATGGTTGCAAGGGCTGCCAACCACGAGCGCACAAGGTGTACGTGGAGAGCACGACGGCATCCAGGAGAAACCAACGACAACAGGGACACCGCCAGCAAAGCGGTCAGCGAAAGCGCTGGGACGACGATGCCATTACGTACCTACAGCAACACAGACCCGACCTGCACCCGACACCCACACCAGCCACCACAAAAGGCCACACGAACGACATAAAGGGCACAACCGGCACACATAACAACCATTTGGTCGTCATGTTAGCACCAGTGCGCCAAAACGACACGTGAAACCATCCTTGTCGAAAGCCGCATCCGCATCCACCACCAGGACTTCCAGGAGTTCCTCCCTTTCCCCCTCCCCTTCAGTTTTGATGTTTTGCCTCGCAGCCACAGCGCATGTCTGAATATTCCATGAGGCCATGGCCTCCCCCACAGGGATTCCATCGGGCCCCGACGACTGTCCGCAGAGGTGGTTCGGTCCTTCGTTCCGCCGAAGATTGCTCGCGCGCGGCTACGCTTGATCCGTCGGTTGGTCGGTTGGTTTCTCGTTGGCTGGTTGGCTTGCAATTCGGCCGATTGGCGTGCCGTCTAAACTACGATTGGCAGTCGATTTGGGCTGTTTGCTGCGTGGCCGGTTACGTGGGATTGCAGTCATTCGTCGGGGATTGCGGCTTCGGGAGCTCGCTCCCACTGTGATGTAAGAAGGTTTCGAAGCTCCGGTCGCACATCCTCAGCTATGTCACGAGAGGCGTGGCCTCGTGGCCAGGACTAGATTCTCAGGAAACGACGGGGTGGTGGGTGGGTGGGGGGCGGGCGCAGAACGCCCCCCGAACACATGCCCCAAAACCGAACATCTCCTGGGGGCCTCCTGGGGCGTCCTGGGGCCTCATTGGGCGCCTCTTGGGGCGTCTTAGGGGACCTCAGGAGCCTCTGGGGGGGGGGGGTCTTGGGGCGATCTCTCGGCGGAAAGCCCGAAATGTCCTTTCGTGTTCCCCCATGTGCCTCTCTTGGGGCCCTCTTCGTTGCCTTTTGAACCGTCTTGGGCACCCCCGCGGGGCCTCCTGGGCAGCAGTCCTGGGGCGCTAGCAGGAGTTCCTTGGGCCGCCCCGGAGCGTTGAAAGCTGAAAAAGGTGAGAAGGCTGAAATCATTCAGAAGCCTAAGAAACATCAATGCCTCTTGGAGATGCTCTCGGGGCCCCCATTGGGAGCTTCTTGGGGGCCTTCATGGACGTCTTCAGGCCATCGGGCGATCCTGAGGCGACTCGAGGCTCTCTTTGGCCGTTTTCCCGGCCCCATCGGCCCCTATGAGCCGCTCTTGGGGCCCTCCTCCTTTTCCCCCTCCTCCTCCTCCTCCTCCTCCTCCTTCTCCTCCTCGTCCTCCTCGTCCTCCTCGTCCTCCTCGTCCTCCTCCTCCTCCTCCTCCTCCTCCTCCTCCTCCTCCCTCCTCCTCCTCCTCCTCCTCCTCTTCCTCCTCCTCCTCCTCCTCCTCCTCCTCCTCCTCCTCCTCCTCCTGGAAATTGCCGGGAGCGCCTGGGAAACAGTTTGCCCAGGGCGCCGCAGCCAGCAGCACAGTTGTGAGCCTCGGGGCACTCCACTTCGTCACTTCGTTCCAGGTGCTCGGTGGCGGATAAGAGATTGTGGTGGCCTCGGGGGGCGCGGATCTTTTGTATTTTACGTGTGCCAGGGCCTAGAGTTGAATTCCAACGAAACGACGGGGGAGCCGAAAAGCGCTACCCCAACACAGATCCAACTTCGGAAAATTTCAGTGTTCTGATCTGGAGAGCGGGTGGTGCCGTTGGTCAAGCTCTTTGGGGTGGGTGCGCGGCCTCAGCGACGCACACGTGGCGTAATTTGCGAAGTGGGTGTGGCCTTGGGAGCGCGAGTGCGTTGTAAAGTGTGTGTTCTCGGGAGAGCGATCTCGCAATACTGTACACGCGCAGTAAATTACAGACGATTGTGGTATCGTGCACGCGAGCCCGGTGTAATTCACAAGGGATTGCAGCCTCGGGAAGTGCGATTTTGCATATCTGATGTGCTCTAGTGCACCCCGAGAAAGTCTGAGAAGCCCATTCCGTGATGAGGGATCGGTGCATTTTCGGCCCCCCCCCCTCGTGCGCAGTTCCATCATTGCAGCGGAGGAACTAGAAAGCGCAACATCTGCAACTACGACTTAGGATTAAGGCGGACCTGTCCCTCTACAGGAGGAATATCCAAACATAGTCCAGACATAGTCTGGGGACGATTTTTGTTTAATAACTATGTTTGCACATGTGTTTGAGTATTTTTGGGTATCTTTAATTTTTCGACCAGAATCCGCCTGTATGGGGGCATGTCCGACCTAAACTTCGAACTTGGAGCTGGTGCTGAGAACGAGACAGCCTAGCCCTCGCGGCCTGTTGGCCCAAGGAGGTCGGCGGATTGATGGCCATCACAAACAGCATTGCTTTAGCGTACATCGGTTTGGAACTTCCAGCTGCATGGGGCCTTCTGACATTCTTGGCGAACTTCATCCCAAACGTGGGTGGGCCGACGGTTTCTATCATCCCATGCATTATAGCTTTGATGGATATCCGGAAGTCCTCGAGCCAGGTGCTATGGGCATTTCTTGCACAATTCATCCTGCATTTCAATATCGCCAATTTCGTGGAGCCCATCGTGTTCGGGACCACGGAGGAGATTCACAGCGTCGTTGTCCTTCTCGGCCTTTCTTTCTTCGGTTACATCTGGGGCTTCAGGGGCATGTTCCTGTCCGTGCCGCTGCTCTTCGCGATCCACGCGTGGCTCGACATCGTGGCCAGCACGCCGAGCTACCCGGCCGAGGCGCGCGACGACGCGCGCTTCATCATGGGCATCCTGGAGGGCAAGTGGCTGGCCGACAGCCCCTGGGACAACGAGGAGGAGGCGGGAGCCACGAGCCCGAGCCCCTCCGCGGAGCACATCGAGCTCGTGGAGCCCGAGCTCCTGCCGCACGGCGCCCAGCCCGGCGGGCCCCCGCCCCCGGTGCCGGGCGGCGGGGGCCCCGCTGGCCTCGGCGAGGGCGGCCGCTGCGCGCCCCTGCGGGGCTTCTGCTCCGCGGTGGCCGGCAGCGAGGCGCCCATCAGCCAGTGGGAGGTCACGAGCTGGCTCCGCAGGTGGGGGGGCGAACGACGGCGTGAACATCAACGACTCGGAGGTCCGCGCGGACTTCTCGCATCCGCGCTGGGGCCCTCCCGGCGGCGCCTCCAGCGCCGCCCCCGGCGCGCTCCGCGCGCCTTGGAGGGGGTCCAGCGCCGATCCGAGAAGTCCGCGCGGACCTCCGAGTTTTTATGTTTCTGTCATTTTTCGTTCCCCTAGCAGGGGCTGGGAGGTGCGGGATCCCGCCACCGACGAGGTGCTGATGCCGGGCCTGCTCTTCCGGTGCGCCGTGCTGGGCGGGGCCTACGTCATGGTCTTCTTCGGCTTCTCGATCTTCAATTGGGACCTCGGCAGCGTCATCCATCCCTCGGGCACCTCGGGGGACGCAGTCCCGCTGAATACCAGCGGCCAGGCCATGACCACGGTGGCGCGCAGAGTCTCGACGACAATCGCTGCCACATCGTGGACTATCCCCACGACCGCGGCGGCGTTCACAGCACCGATGGCCACCGTGGCTGCCACGCAGACGACGACCAGCGCCCGCCCCAACGATGACGGCGGCAGCGCGGGGCCTGAGGCCAACAGCAGCCATGAGCATCGTCACCACGCCGACAGCGCTCGACCCAAGCCGAGCCGACGCCCAGAGGAGAAGGAGGAGGAGGAGGACCCTGGTGATACGCGGCCAACGGTGCCAGCCCCCGGTGGGCACAGAAGCTCCGTGGACTACGTCGACGACCTCGGAGGGCCAAACGAGTCGCTCCGAGGCAGCCAGGGCGTTGAGCCCAAGCGACGGCACAACCGCAGCTCGGGTCAGGCACTCAGTGTCGCGGGCGACCTTGAGACCTGATGAGCTGGTTCTTATCTTGTTGCGGACGCTCCAACGGCCTGTGCAGCCCCACTCTCTTGACCTCTGAACGGCTGCGGTAAGCGGCTCCTCCCCCTTTGCCGCATGGTCTCCAGTCAGCCGCATCGGCAGGCAGGCCTTGGGCCGTTGGCCGTATGTGCACTGGTGGATTCGCGTGCACGCGAACGCTTCGTGCCCGTGGATGTGGTTAGCGCGATGTCTGAAACAGAGAATCGGATCTCCCAGCGTACGGTACCCATCTATCGGAGGTGGACAGAACCCCCAACAGTGACACGTCGATTAGTGAATTGTCCGTTTTCGGTTCTCCAGAGGGCGCCGTGGCCGTTATTTTTCAGGCTTGCCCCCGCCAGGTTTGGGCCTCAGGTCGTTTTCACTAAACCACGTTTTACTAAAGGGGGGTCTGTCCAACCCCGAATATATCCGACGACGCGTTTTGTTTCAACCCACGGAATCCAGTGGTCTCGACCTCTTCCGCGAGGGTAGCCGCTTGGTCCCTGCCCATTGTCGATGGCCCCAGCACCCGAAGACGGTTCTCGGGATAGAAAAAATGACAAAGTTACGAGGACGGACGCCGAAACCGAAGCCAGGTGCGCGACCCGATTCACGAAAGTCCCCCTCTGCTGACCCCCCTCCTCCGTCCGATCCGATCAGCGGAGCCAGATCTCCCTAACAGTGCGGTATGTATATACACATATATGTATACGTATGTATGTATGTATATAAAGATAAATAAATACATACATACACACAAGGCTGCATTGGCGCTTCGCGCCATGCTCCTTGTTCCGGACGCTTCCCCGGCAACACAATAAATCATCGCTTGCTTCAGCAGGGGGGACCTCGAGGCTTGGACGTGCGATCGGTTCAGTTTTCTGATATCCTTGGTGTTTGCTGTCACCGCGCTCGCCCTGTGCGTTTGCACGTATGTGCGCAGGGGTGGGGAAGGAATACTGTTTTTTCCCCGCGCGAAGGTGCTGGCAAACGACGAAGCATAAAACTGTTGCGATGGCACGTGCCCATGAACGGGGAACGGGCAGGGAGCAGGACCTGTTGAACTCGTGGTACTTGTAGGACCTATGGGACCCGCGGGACCTTCGACCCCTGTGGGATCTATTGGACCTGCGGGTTTTTTGGGACATGTGGGACCTGCGATACCTGCGATACGTTGAGACCTGTGGAACGTGCGAGACCTGTAGGGCTCGTGGGACCTGTTGTGCCTCTGGAGCCTGCGAGACGTGCGAAACTTGTGGGACCTGTGAGACCTGTGCGCCTTGTGGGGCATGAGAGACCTGTAGCACTTGCGGGTCCTGCGAGACCTGTAAACCTGTGGAACCCGTGGGGCCAGTGGGACCAACTTTACTTGTGGAGCCTAGAGGACCTGCGAGATCTGCGAGACCTATGACCCCTGGGACCTGTTGGACCTGTGGTGCCTGTAGGACATGGGACCTGCGGGACCTTCGACACCTGTCGGACCTGCTGGGCCTGCGGGACCTTTGAGACACGTGGGGTTTGTGGAACCCGCGAGGTTTGTGGGACCTGGCGGACTTGCCAGACCCGTGGGACCTGTTGGACCTGTGCTCTTGGGACGTGAGGGACTTGCAGAGGACTGTACGGCAGACCTCTTGGGGCCCCCTGGCCCCTGGGATCAGATCGTCGAAGCAGCCTCGGGGATCGAGGATCGGGGACGGGCCTGGCCGGGATCGGTGTGCGCGCGTGCATCGTTGGCGCTTGCTTGCCATCCGACGCCGCCCCCCAGGCACGAATTCTCGCGGCCGCCCTGAGCGGGTGCCACGGGCCGCGGCGCGGGCGCCTGATTGGCGGAGCAACGGGCGGGAGGAGAAGGCGAAGGAAGGAAATGGAGAAGGCAGAGGAGGATCAGGAGGAGGAGGAGGAGGGGAGGAAGGAGGAGGGGAGGACGGAGGGGGAGAAGGGAGGAGAAGAGACGAGAGGAGGAGGAGGAGGAGGGGAGAGGAGGAGGAGGAGGAGGAGGAGGAGGAGGGGGAGGGAGAGGGGGAGGGAGGAGGGGGAGGAGGAGGAGGAGGAGGATGCAAGGGGAGGAGGGAGTCGAAGACTTCTGAGTACGTGGAAGGCTTCCTGGAGTCATGTACGAGTTGATGCAAACGGTGGAAAACGTCAACGGTTTCGGAAGGCGTGTGGCGCTCAATTACCGCACGGTTTCCAGACGCGGGGCAGTGGCCCGCTTGGACACCCCATGTTGGGAGACCAGGAGGTTGGTCCCAGCAGAGGAGGAAGACGAGGAAGAGGGGGAGGAGGAAGGAGAGGGAGGAGGAAGGAGGAAGGAGGGAGGAGGGAGGAGGAGGGGGAGGAGGAGGGGGAGGAGGAGGAGGAGGAGGAGGAGGACGAGGAGGAGGAAGAGGAGGAGGAGGAGGAGGAGGAGGAGGAGGAGGAGGAGGGAGGAGGAGGCGGAGGCGGAGGAGGAGGAGGAGGAGGAGGGAGGGGGGAGGAAGGGTGAGGTGGAGAAGGGGAAGCGGCCGAGGAAGAGAAAGGTAGAGGGGGAGGGTTGAGGGAGCAGTGGCCTGGCGGGCCGTAACGAGGTGATCCTTCGACTATGGGCTCGCACGTCTCAGCGGCGTGCCTTGCAAGAGCAGCGACACGTTGCATCCAGACCATGACAGGCTAGTGTGTCTTTTTGAGGAAAAAAAGCATTGAACGTGATATTCCCTCTCCCTCTTTGCTTGTACGATGCTCGAACACTCCTCGTCTCAAATGTTGTTATCGCTCTCTCTCTCTCTCTTGTTTCTCTGCCTCTCGCTCTGCATACAATTTCGCATACTCAAGTGTACTCCGGATCCTCTTTCTCTCCCTCTCTCTCTCGATCTATAGATATGTGTATATATACGCATATACATATATATATGTATGTATCTATCTATCTATCTATCTATCTATCTATATATATCTATCTATATTTCTATATATCTATATATATATATATATATCTATATATATATCTATCTATCTATATATCTATCTATATGTCTATATATCTATCTATCTATCTATCTATATATCTATATATCTATCTATCTATGTATATAAACATGTATGTGTGTATCCCTTTCTCTCATGATCTGTCTCGCTTTGTGGCTCTGTCTCTCTCTCCCTCTCTCTTGGAGTTTCCGTTCTGCTTATGTTTGTAATCACAAGTATGTGCAATATGTCTGGGTTCCTCTCTACATGGTGCAAGCAGGCTGCCAGTGGGGGGCACGGCACGAGAGGGAAGGATGTTGTGTCACCCCAGTCGTGCGAGGCCTTGGATCCAGGACCAGCCCTTGAAGGCGTGTATTGTTATTTTCCATCAGCGTGGTTCTGTGTTGCTGTGCGAGGCTCTCATCAGGAGCTGAAGGGGTTCGGACACATGCGTGCTCAAACGCGTGCTAGGTGCGTGTGCATTGTGCGCGTGCTTGAACGTACACACGTGCGCACGCGGACGCAGCCCATCCGCCTGAACACGTTCGCAACCACGTGCGTGTCCTGGTGCGTAGAACCGCAACGCGCACGCGAATGCGAACTAGCACTCGCATTAGATAATTCATGCACATGTGGGCGTCAAAACAACAGCCTCGCAGCCAAACTGGCACGCAAAAGCAGGGCACCACTAGAAGACGTGCGAGCAACCTTCCCACACTAAGTGACGGCGTCCGGCAATTCAAGCCTTCGACACCGGGGTTCTGGCGGGTCGGTGGTTGCCAAACATTCTGATACAAGGCGCTGCAGGTATGCTTCCTCGCACACGTGCGCCATTGCCAGTGGTACTGGTACCACACCTTTGCCGCGAACGCGTTTCTGCGCTCTATCTGGCTGGCTTTGGATACGCGTGGTGTTCCTGAAAGGTACGGTGGCAGTCGTGCCAGCCAAGCGCACGATGTGTAGGCTTACGTGCAGCATGGGCGTTCAGCGATATCGTTGAAGTGATCCGAAGCTCGCACTGTCGCAGTGGCCCTTCACTTGGTGCCCCACTGCGAGCTCGATCCCGTCTCGTGATCCAAGCCCAGACCCCCGACGTCGTGATTTTTGTTCAGAAAGTCGCTCCCCCCCGAAGTCTGGACCTCTTCCCCGGGACCTGTTTTTTCATCCGAGGCCCGAGAAGGACGCGCCCCGTTTGAGTTGGTGTTTCCAGGGAGGTGGAG